GAAGACAGCATTAAATGGAATAATGTGGAATCTTGAGCTGCCATGAAGTTAATATGAGCATCTCAAGTCGGGTCGTGAGGCATCATGGATTGAAATACCTTTTTGGAGAGTTTCATACATTTCCCTACCATAAAGCAAAGGACATGATGGAAAGGTTGGTAGAGAATTAAATCTTTCCAGTTATTTGAGTGTTACTCTATTTTGTCCTAAAAGATTGTGTTTGGTTAGTCTTATCAAACATCTGGGAATACCAAATCATTCACTAGAAGTTGAAGATACAAAGGTTAGTACTCATGGGCCTGTATTCTAGTTGCTCACCATGTAATAGGAAAGAAACATATAAACCTCTCTTCCACTTAGGAAAAAGGTCTAAATGATGTATGTAACGGAGGTACGCATATTTTGGAAGGACATTTTTTAAGTTTACAAAAACTAATTTTGTCATCTGATCATACTTACCACAGAGTTGCAATAGAACAGACTTAAAATAGACTGTCAAAAACATATTTCTGTGTGGCCACAAAAGTATGTGCAAAATATTTGGAGAATTTCAGAAGATGTGCCAGAATGCAATATTACTGACCAGGCACAGTGGCTCATGTCTGTAATCCCAGCACTTTGAGAGACTGAGGCAGACAGATCACCTGAGGTCAGGAGTTTGAGACCAGCCTGGCCAACGTGGTGAAACCCCATCACTACAAAAAATGTAAAAATTAGCCAGGCATGGTGGCATGTGTCTGTAGTCCCAGATACTCTGGAGGCTGAGGCAGGAGAATCGCTTGAACCTGGGAGGCAGAGGTTGCAGTGAGCTGAGATTGCGCCACTGTACTCCAGCCTGGGCAACAGAGCAAGACTCTGTCTCAAAAGAAAGAAAGGGAAAAAAAATGCAATATTATTGACTTGTTCAGTTTTTCTCTGGGCATTGAAGGCATACCTTCTGATATTCTCCAAACATTTCAGTGTGGGTGAGTAATTATAATCCAAAGATTCCAAAATACGTTATTATAGGTCTTTTTTCTGTACAAAACCATTTGCTGAGTGATCAGTTGCTGTATCACTAAAGCAGAAGACAATTTGATTTGAGTTGGTATAACAATAGCATGTCATCAAATGAATAAAAAGGATTTTTTAATTGGCCATAGATGTTTTCCTTTTTTTTTTCTTTTTTCTTTTAAAAGAAGTCTAGCTTTTAAAAGAACTGCACATGACTTATTTCTCCATAGTACCCGTTTTCAATCTATTTTGATCTCCCCCTTAAGGCATGCTTAAGCTAAGGTATATGTCATTGGCTTAGTACATATTGATATTCTTTCTGAAACAGGATATGATATAGTATAATACTTGCATAACCAAGATTATGTCTAGACTGGTGAAATTAAAATAGTGACAGAGCAAAAAGGATCTCTTTCTGCAATAGAATACTTTAGGAAACATTGTTTTCCAGAATATTGATGAAATGTACAGATATAGAATTGGATTTTATATCAGCATTAAAGTTAAGGTTTTAATATTGAAAATGCCCTATTGACTTCTGTATTTTAATCTTATTGGTGTCCATCATTTTAGACTGACCAAGATAATGTGAAATTTGCTTTGAATGTTTCTGTAGAGGTAATAATGAGGAGCTTCAAACCTAATTACATCTCAAAAAATATAAAGTAGAACATACTGTCTGTGATATAGGAGAGGGGAAAATGCTCATATTGCTTATGTTTTATGCTAAAATGTAATCAATAAATACATTAGTAGGTAACTGATTCCTAAGAAACAGACTAAATGCCATCCTTAAACCTTAGTAGTTTTGATTAAGTAAAGCTGAGTTCTTAAATCTTTTTGGAGTTTTGTTTGTTTAATAAAATAGTTTGTTTCTCAAGTCTTTTTTTTTTTTTTTCTAAGCATGTTTCATTAAAGAAAACTACTGCCTGGGTGCAGTGGCTCAAACCTGTATTCCTAGCACTTTGGGAGGCCACCTGAGGTCAGGAGTTCAAGACCAGCCTGACTAACATGGTGAAACCCTGTTTCTACTAAAAATGCAAAAATTAGCCGGGCGTGGTGGCGCACACCTGTAGTCCCAGCTACTTAGGAAGCTGAGGCAGGAGAATCACCTGAACCAGGGAGGTGTAGTTGCAATGAGCTGAGATCGCACCACTGCACTCTATACTGGGCAACAAGAGTGAAACTCCTTCTTGGGAGAAAAAAAAAAGGAAAGAAAACTACCAGAGAACAATTTCAAACCAAAGACCTCTTTGAAACCTGCTAAATCAAGATTCTGACTTCTTTCATTCCTATTAGCCCAGGAAGGGTATGGAGAAAGTTACCTTGAACTCTTGGGGCCAGACTTGACTACTGAGTGGGTGCCCCAGGCAAATGATGGCTTCTCCTTTATCTCAATATTCTAGAAATATTTACTCAATATTTCTCTAGAGAAGAAGAGGAAGTTACCTTATAGCATTCTAGTGGAGTGCTAAGGTTTTGAATTAATACATGGAATAGAATCCTTGCTCAGCCACATACCATCTCTGTGACCTTGAGTAAAATTATTTACTGTTTCTCAGTTTTCCCATCTGTAAAATGGTCATGATAGTAGTACCTATTTCCTAAAGGCATAATGAGGATAAAATGGGATAATTTATGTAAAGTCCTTGGCAGAGTACCTGTCAAATGGTAAATTCCCCAAAATATATTACCTGATAATAGGTTAAAGTATAATTCTTTTGTCCCAAGATGAACTCTTGCACATTTCCTTTTCACTGATTTTAAATTTGAAGTAGTCCAGGCCTGGTAGCTCACGCCTGTAATCCCAGCACTTTGGAAGGCCAAGGCGGGAGACTCATCTCAGGTCAGGAGTTCGAAACCAGCCTGGCCAACGTAGTGAAACCCCACCTCTACTAAAAAAAAAAAAACAAAAATTAGCCAAGTGTGGTGGCACACAGCTATAGTTCCAGCTATTCAGGAAGCTGAGACAGGAGAATCACTTGAACCCGGGAGGCAGATGTTGCAGTGAGTCAAGATTGTGTCACTGTACTCTAGCCTGGGTGAAAGAGTGAGACTCTGTCCCCCCAGCCAAAAAAAATAAAATAAAATAAAATGATAAATTTGAAATAATAATGAATTTTATTTTACTGTGAAGAGAGCTTACAGTCATTTTCCTTGAATTATAGTAAATGATAATTGGATAAGATTAATTTATCTCTGCACCCTTGGTTGTAGCTATCATTCCCAGCCTCTGGTTCGGAATAATATCGCATGTGAACTTTAGCTTCAATTGAGGATACTTACAGCAATTTTTATTCTCTTCATGCATGCCTTATTGGCCATCTGTTTTCGGGGGAGAAATATAGGTAATAAAAGTGAAAATGGCCCCATAGAAATATGTATTGGCTGCCCTTTCTCATATGAGAAGTCAGAAATAGGCATAATATAAGTAAAAAGTGAGACAAGCCAGGTAGTTGATTCTGTTAAACATATTTATCTAGACTTAGATCACCAAAGAGAATAAGTGTTCCAAAACAGCCATAAATTCAAATTCATATGCTTCCTTAGAGATCTGTTTATGGTTCTCATATCTCCTCTTATATGTATTTGAATGACAGAACCATTATTTAAGGCAAGGATCGGGTGATAACATGTTCCGAGCCTTTTATTAATGTCCTGTTCTCCGTTTCTCTGCTCGTTCCCTAGACTGAAGCTACACTGACCAAAGCTACATCATTTTACATTCTGTAGATGTTGGTTGTGTGCTCATTGCCTGAGGCAGCCAACTATTTAATTCTGTCATTGGTACCAGGATATTGAAATTCAGTTAAAATTTGAAGCCCACAGTAGCTGGTAGATTAATTTTTTGTGGATTTATATTTGTTTTATTTTGTTGAACATAAATAGTGTCACACATTACCTTGGATCTAAATGGCATCCATGGCTAGGTGCAATGACTCACGCCTGTAATCCCAGCACACTGGAAGGCCAAGGCAGGCAGATCACCTGAGGCCAGGAGTTCGAGACCAGCCTGGCTAACATGGTGAAATGCTGTCTCTACTAAAAATACAGAAATTAGTCAGGCATGGTGGCATGCACCTGTAATCGCAGATACTCAGGAGACTGAGGTGTGAGAATCTCTTGAATCCAGGAGGCAGAAGTTGCAGTGAGCTGAGATCGTACCACTGTCCTCCAGTCTGGGTGACAGAGCAAGACTCTGTCTCAAAATAATAAAAATAAATAAATAAATAAATGGCATCCATAAGTATTTATTGCTAGAATTCATGGCTGATCAACAGCATTATTTATGTTTTCATTAAATCTAGGTGGCACTGTATTTTCTTTTTGATTATATAGATGAGAGGTTTCTGTGTTGCCCAGGCTGGTCTCGAACACCTAGCCTCTCCTCCTTATGCACAAGGACAACAGGCCTGAGCCACCGCAGCTCCTGGTGGCACTGTATTTTCAAATGCAAGTTCAGTGGGGGTAGTTTGAGATCTTCTGTTCATTTGTAGACCAAATAAAATTTAAGTTTCATTTTTGAAATCTCTGCTTGTGTTATAGATTAGAGACTTATAAGACCATAAAATATGAAACCTTCTAATAGACAGTTAGCACTCAGAATGTCCTTAATGCTAATTAAGTAATGTGACATAAAACATGAAAAAGAAATCTTAGTTACAAACACATGAAACATGTCGTATTTTTCGCTTTTAGTGCATTTATTTCTGCTTTTTGGAATAATGATATTACTGATATAAAATTGTACTCAAGTCTTTCAAAAGTTAATGTCTGTTTGTATATAGGTGCTTTCTGCCTTTGCACTTGCTGTTTTGCCAGTTTCATCAGAAGTGAAGCAAATATTTGTTGTCTTCGGAGCTCTCCTAATTTATATAAAAGCAATGTTGATGTTAAATGAACAACCTAACGTTTAGCTTACCTGTTGTGATGAAGAGTAGTTACAGAGGGATAAATCTTTAACTCTTAAATAATTTTCAAATTGTTAAACGGTTTTTCTCTTGTAGTGAGAGATTTTTCTTGAGGCTGAATAGAAACGGGCTTCCCAAAGCCCCTGATAAACCGGAACGACATTGCTCCCTCTTTGTGGTGAGTGGATCTTGTTTCATTCATAAGGCAGATTCATCCAATTATGATTCATACTATTTAGGAGAAATAAATTACTGTGAGAGAACACAGTGAATTTGCTTTTAAACTTTATATAAATAACACACAGATTACATTAGTGCCCAGAATTCTGAATATCACCTTCCAGGATTACTTTAATTCCGTTAGTGTATTACTGCTTCTGTTATACTATTACCAAAGTATAACAATGATTGCCGGGCACAGTGCCTCACGCCTATAATCTCAATACTTTGGGAGGCCGAGGCAGGTGGATTATCTGAGGTCAGGAGTTCAATATCAACCTGGCCAACATGGTGAAACCCCATCTCTACTAAAAAATACAAAAATTAGCCAGGAGTGGCGGCGGGCACCTATAATCCCAGTTACTCAGGAGGCTGAAGCAGGAGAATCACTTGAACCTAGGAGGCAGAGGTTGCAGTGAGCCAATGTCGCACCACTGCACTTCAACCTGGGCAACAAGAGCGAAACTCCATCTCCAAAAACAAAAAACAAAACCAGTGATCACGCTCGGCAAGACACCTGGTATTTAATATGTGCTTAATAAATGTTTAAAGAATGAATGAGTGAGAGATTGAATCAATAATGCTTTCTTCTTTAAAGTATTACTTGGTATCAATTGACCTAAGGTTGATTGTAATGATATTTTTAGAACAGGATTTAAATCACGTACTTCTGCTACAAACATTCCATTAAGAATGTCTGTGTTCATCTCTGTCTGTCTTCTTTTATTTGTGAAAATAAAATGCTCTTCCCTTTAAGTGCAGCTCATGTCTTCCAAAATAACCAAACTTTGTTTGTTTGTAGGATTTGGGTAGCAGTGAGCTAAGAAAGGACATCTATATCACCGTGCACATTATCCGAATCGGTAGGTATAGCACTTGTCAGTGCAGTAGGGGCAAGGAACAGAGAGGAGAAATGCCGAGAGGTTTCTATGTTGTGATTTATTTGCTGTCTGAATTAGAAAGATATCAAAGCCAGATTTGAATCCAAGAATCACAGAAGTTGTGAATTGTCCCCTGACCTTCCCAACCCCACGTATGACCTCCTCACCTACCATAAACAGATTCTGGTCTCTTTTAATATAAGTAATTAAGAAGTTTGTTGTGTTTCATTTTGTTCTGCTAGCCTTCCTAAACATATTTGATTCAAAAATGTTGTGTTTGTCTGTTAAAATTCTAAATTCTGTTAGCATAAAATGAATTTTTCAGAGCTGAGTTTCCTATAAGTTAATGAAAGCTTTATAGAAATTGGCTCTACATAAATTTTCCAAAGTGCAGAATGCTTCAGAGCGTTATTCCAGAAGGTGCTTCAAAAAACAGGCTGTGAAATAGTGAATACTGAATGTTTTTTTAACTTGTATAATGTCATCAGCTTATTGAAAGGTCTGAGAAGTCCTAAAGGGAAAAATAAATATGCCTATCTAACTTTGTTGACCCTAGTTTTCCTCAAATTTGATTTGACTATGAATGAAAACAGTTATATAATGTAGCACTTACTAACATCTTGCAGAACCCACTTTGATGTTCTGTGATGAACTTGCTCAATGAAACCAGAATGTGTTCCCTCATTTTTACACATAAAATACCTCTAAAAGCAGGCATTTTATGGCAGAGGAGCAAGGTGAAATGAGGAATGGTGTAACCTACACAGTTTTTCCATTAAGTCTAACCAGTCATTATTGGGAATTTGTTCCCACTTCTTCACTAACTGTACTCCGTTACTAGCCTAGGAATACTTCTGTGAGATAGTAATATCTTGCCATGCAGTCCTGCAAGGTGATTTATTTTTATAGGCTTTGGTTTTATGTATACGATGACTATATTGTGCATTGAGTGAGACTATAAAAAACATACTTTCATTCCAGCATAGATTTTCTATATGTTTTTTCTCATAAAAATCTACTCTGAAAACCTGTTTTCATTTTATGCTATTTTTGTATTTGAAGAACAGTAGAAATAAAAAACAGATACTTTTTTTGTTTTGTTTTTTTCTTTTTATAAATGAGTCTATGAAAAAAATTGGAAAGAATCTTTGAAAAGGTTAGAAAAGTTAGAACCCATGCTGCTGTTTTCTTATGAGATAAAGCCTGTCTGTTCTCAAGATGGCAGAGGTAGTTTGTTATTTAATCTGTGTTTGTTTAAATTCAAATGTAATACCAATGGTTAAAGTAAAATATGGTTTTATGTATCTTCGTGTAAACATTGCTAAAATTTTAATATAATATCTGACAGCAGTAAGAGAAAAAGTAAACCACTTTTGTTTTCAGAGATTTCTCAAAGATATCTAGGGGTTTGGGGTGGTAAAAAAAAAAACATGCAGCAAAGTTAGTATGTGCCCTTCTGGCCCATGGACTTCACTCACTGTGTTATTGCCAAGGAAGCTGCCTCAGTAGTACTGCCCATCACAGGGCAGCCTTTCAAATGCTTGGTGTTTGATTTGTAATTGCACTTTTTATTAACATTGTTATGATCATTAAGTCATTAAAATGAATGTTGAATCAGAAATTGCCTCTCTATCCTTGTCCTCAGTTTTGGGCAAATGAATACTTCTCTAGGATTATTGCAAAAAACTTTTACCAGTTCAACATTTTGAGACCAAAGGAGAAGTGAGATTAAGGTAAAATACACTATGATAGGTTAAGATTTAGTCTGCCAGCTCCCTTGATGGAGTGAAATTGGTGGCAGATTGTTGTCTATCAGAGTGCTAGAAATGCAAAATGCTTGTTCCTCAGTGCCATAAAGAAATAGCACTCAACTGTAAATTTAATTTTCTCAGTAAGGCAATTTTTACTTTCTGCAGAAAGGGTGCCTCTCACAGATGGAACAATGGTGAGAGCACACCTGGACAGGGGAGGGAAAGGAATTCTTATTCCTAACTCAGGTAGCCCCTACTGATGTGGTGTTCCCCTATTTGCTAGGACTATTTGGTTGGACTGCACAGTCTAAGCTAGTTCCAATTGACTATGTTGAAAAGAGCAGGAATACAAGCCAGAGTGTTGGGGTGAGTAGTTTGGCAGGAAGGATGGTTAGGCACAGGTAACTAAAGGTGGCTTAGGTCAGAGCAGGTAATCAGGGGTGACTCAGGTCAAAGCAGATGACTGGGATGAGTCAGGACAGAGCAGGTGACCAGGGGAACAGATGTGAACTACTGATCAGAACTGGCAGGTAAGTTGTTTACTGAAAATAGAGGCAAGGCGGTAAAGAGAACCAGAAAGTTAAACTTTAAAATGGAGAATCAAAGAATGAGAGAGCTGAACATACTGGCATACTGATTATTTGAAGAGAAACTTGGGGTTCACTATATTTAACAAGGGACACATACTTCTTACAGAATGTCTTTTGTACCTATTTAGTAGGAAAAGGGCATGTTGGCCCTCACTGGCTGCAGAAAGCAGGAGCAATATCACCTCACTTCTGGGAATTTAAGTCCAGCTCTTTAGATAGATGGAGAGGAAAAAAAAAA